AGAAGCTCGTGAGTAGACGAGAACGTTGGCTGGCGGTGAAACTACTAAAGGCACAGGACACGAAAACAACAGAAACCAGCTAAGGTCTGCTCTATCGCATGGCATTAAAATCATCAATCACCATCACCCTTCACGGAATGCAGCCGTCCGTTCAACCCTCCTGTGCGGGTGCGAAACCTGACACATCAATTCGACAGGCATAAAGAGGACACTCACGTACGATCATCACTGCCTTCGTAGTTGAGCTCATGTCCGGTGGGAACACCGCATGAGTGATAAGTGATAAGCGTGTTCGGTGAAGTGTGTTCGGTGCAGTAATAGCGAAAGAACCGCTCAACACCGTCATATCACGTGCACCAGGCTCTGATGGCTGGGCCACATGTTGCGCATGTCAGCACACCGACTCCCGCGACGTGCGTTGTTTGCGCGACCAGGGTGTGGATGGCAGAGGAGGGGAAGCTAAGCGATGACTTGACCAAGGGAATTGAAGACCCTCACCTCGAATTTGGCGTCGGTTAGCGTCTCGAGACTGCCGGGCTGGAGCGCGAAGGACGATGAACATGTTTGGTTGGATACACTAGTTGACATGGCAAAGAGCCGACCCCAGCGGCGTTTGTGCTGTGAGTCTCTTTGTGCAACCCCTTTCCGCATAGGGCCTCGCTCCAGCCACCTTTTCACACGTGATGCACAATATGACACTAAGCATTATATAACGTTTCTCTGCGATGTTTGTATCTCACTTTTCTTCCTATATGGCTGATGTTTTGTGTTGCAGAAAATTAGCTGAAGTATGTGTATTGTCTTCAGCTAACGTGGATTGACGAAGAGGATGATCAACGCACATTAGCTAAATATGAGAAACACAAAAGTAATCGCACTGCGATACAAAAGAAAGAAAAATTAACAGACAAAACATTGGAAGTAACAAAATAAAATCAAGCAAAGCAAACAAGATAATGCTAAGTAATACAATATGCATGGAGTATGAGATCATGGTTGCAAGGGAAAGCGAAGCGGGAGGGGTGGGCAAAGAAACATCATAAAAGCCAATGAGAACGGCTCGTCGTCATGTCAACTGGTGCATCCAACCAAACAGTTTATCGTCCTTGGAACCCCAGCACGGCAGTCGGGAGACACCTGGCGACGCCAAATTCGAAGTAAGGGTTTACATCCCTCTCTAGCAAATAATCCCTTCGTCTCCTTACCTCTACTTCCATCCACATCTCGATCGCGCGAACAATGCATATCGCGGGATTCGGTGGGCACAGAGCTTGGCGCGTGATATAACGGAGCTGAGCGGTTCAATCACTCTTCCTGCATCAAATACGCGACGCTGAACACGATCATTGCTCATGCAGTGTTCCCATCAAACGTGAGCTAAGATGTAAAGGCAGCGATGATCGAATGGAGCCATCCATTTTATGTCTGTCGACTTGATGAGTCAGGTTTCACAACCGTATAAGAGGGTTGGAACAGACGGGCGTATTATAAACTCTGCCCTTCGCGGCGAGATTGATGTTGCGTCGGCGTCACAGGTGGCGGAGATTAGCAAAAGCACCTCAAACCTTTGTAGTGCGGTCGTAACCTCATTCTCGATTTCACAAGTGCTAATATTATAGCCGCCAAAGCACTTGAGACTCTGAATGACATCTAGCTGATTCCCACCAAGGAGTAGAGCAAGGGGGGTCCCAGCCAATATCTGAGGACTTTGTATTTCGATGGCGAAAATCAAAACCCAAACTGATTGACAGCCAGTGCTTAGCTGCCCAATAACCCATGGCAAACCTGGGAGTTGCCACAGATTAGGGTGATATTGTCAGCGCACTCCAAGCCAAACCTGGGAGCGCATAGTAAGCGATACCCAGTAAAAGCAGTTTTCATATCGTCGATGGTGAAGTTAAAGAAAAAGAGTGACAAGCGACAATATTGTTTCACACCGTTTGAGGTATTAAAGGGCGGTGACAGTTTGCAATAAACCCTTACTCTGTCCGAAATTCGCGCATATAGCGCTCTGATAATGTTTACGTATCTCTCGGCCACACCTTTCCTGAGCAGATATTCCAAAAGAGTACACCGATCCCCCTAATCGAAGGCACCTATGATGTCGAGAAACACAGCCACAGTTGGTCGCCAATAGATATGGCGGCGTTCCAACAGCTGAATTAATGTGACAATGTGGTCAATATATCCTAGACATCGAAAAAACCCGGCTTGCTTCATGACATTCTGACTTTCAAGGGTGCCCGTCAGTCTATGGAAGGGAACCTATTCTGTGTTGGCCGGCTGATTGGGACCCAATCAACCAGAGCAGCTTTAGCGCGCGAAACCAAGGCAATACGTACACTGGCTTGGCCGGCACTCGTAGCAGTATCACCTCTGGATAGGCACAATGAGAACGAATTGCTAGAGTCACATGAAGGTGATAGCAAAGCAAGTACAAAGCTAGAGTCTTGCAGGCAGGTTTCCGATAAACAGCAGATAGCGATCGAAGGGGTAAGTGCTGCCTGATGTCCAATCGGTAACATAGTGTGCACACTGAGATATGTCAGTCCCAACGAGGGTTGGAAATCGGATTGTCGGCAGAGCAGGAGTGACGCTCCGCGTTTCCGTGTGAGTTGGAACTAGAAGATAAACGCCTATCGAAGCAGAATTGGGGAGAAAAAAGAATTGGGGGTTAAAAGTGGCGGGATAAAAGTAAGTTGGAACGAGACGATAAGACTGAAAGAGCGCAAGAAAGGGAATATGAAAACAGGAAGGCCAGAGAAGTAGCATCCAACCCCTATCCTACCTGCTCGATGCAGCAGATAGGGCACATTTGATTATCGTCCTCGACGCCCATAGCAGCAAGGAGTTTTTTGAAGAGAAAGTCATTGTATTGCATGGGCAGGATACTGTCAGGAAACCCAGTCTTAGACAAGAGAACCATAAGGCTTCTCAGCCAAAGCCTTTAGTTCAAAAACCGTGCCGGAAGGCAGCAGGTTTGATAGTGAGCTGCAGAGTGTCCGCTTTACGGAGAAAGGAGTCATTCTCACTCTGGATGGCCAGCAGACTGATATTGTCTGGGTTCAAATCGTTGATCATTGTGGTATGAGTGGCTCTGAAGGTGCGAAAAGAACCACCCAGCATAGCTCAATGAATCACTGGAGCGCGCAAACCATCGCATCACGTTAAGATCCAGTCGCATAACAGAACTTGTATAGAAGTAACACGCCGATTGATTAACGGGTACGTTGAAATGTAGGCTAAGTCAGGCATCCCAAAGACTTGTTTGGCCAGCTGTCTGTCCCTATTGTCTGCTGGGTTCCCCGAAGACACGATGCAAAATGACAGCACAACCAATACCCGTACCACTGAAGCAATATCATGCAACCGTCAGTAGAAGTTTCCAAGGATGATAAAATCGGTTGGGACAAATTCAGCATGGATTCGGTCACACGCCTCGAACAGGCCGGTGGTTACCCACAATAGTCACTGGCTGCAAAAACAGGTCAGATGATTGATACGAACCACCCACATTGTAGACATTAAAAGTGAAACTGTTACCAGATATTCAAATTAGGTGGCATTTGGCAAATAGGCTGGATATGGCACTGATAAAGGAAGGATTGGCTACGTCGTTACTCTTTATTGATTGCATTGGGAAAGCCGTTTATTAAAACGGCTCACTATGGTAATCCTCCGGAACATTGAACACACATTGAGAATACCTTAGAAATTACGTCATAGTCAGTTGACTGAATTTGGTCTAAAGATGATAGTGGTGAAGCCATGCAACACACGTGTTTTGCTACTAAAATTCTCGAGTACAGTTCCGGTGGAGTGTGAATGAGCAGGAGAAAATCACCGCCGAGTGCGTCATAAAAAATGTAATTTACATTTAGAATTTGAATAAAAATGGTCATACAAGGTTAGAATTCGGATACGCCATTTGGACTGAAAGTTTATCACAGGTCAAATACCAAAGCAGAAAATGCGAACAAAGTATTCTTCCAGCGATATAACATTCATTACGGAATTGATGGTAAGCAGCGGTGCAGATCATCAGATGCATGGTCAATTGTCGCGCGCGTTCAGAAATCAAATCACTGTGGGGTAATTTAGGCGATACGCTGCAGTGATCAGAAGTACCGAACAACTAATGCAGTGTCCTAAACATGGACAATGGGAACAAATAAAAAGTAGAGAGCATACAAAGGACCGTTGGTATGGTGACTCAGGCATTTGATATTCAACATCCGAATTCCGGGGTCCGTCACCCTCTCCTACATGGAATTCGGTCCACGCACAGCAGTTGAGGGCTCATGGAGGCGAAACAGCCGTACGAAGCACTGGCTCAGCGATAACACCATTTATGCAGACAATGGAGCGAGGTAAAAGCGACCCGAGACACCAGAGGGAGAGTTAAAGGGCAAATGGTTGTCAACCAAGAAGCGTCTTATTTTGTTGAGTCTGAAAATTATGATCTATGTTCAGTTGGCAAAATTAAAGTTGTATGTGGGTACATCCCAATGAACTCGTCCTAATTAGTTCAATGTGACAGGAAAAGTCCGTACAATACTCAACATGTTGCCACAAAAATATGTGATGGCATCATCTTGAAGAGACAATCCAATAGTGGTGCACAATGAGGAAGGCGAATCAAAGATAACATCAATTCAGCTAACTCTATACCTGTTCTCGTGCCATTACTAGAACGTTGAAAGGTAACAGTACGATGTCTGAGAGATAATCTAGAGCAGGCTGGCCAATCGACGACGGTTGGGGCAGAAAACACGTGCAAGATAGCCAGCAAGTTGAAATGATCAGGCAAATCAAAGGAAAAACCACCAGCATACGCATGACGAACGTGGAATTGACCAGCGTTGCCAGGAGTGCGAAGTTCGAAGCAACAGACGCGCTTAAAGTGCCATATGCTGAATAAGCATTTGTACCCAGACATAAGGCAGCAAATGTTATATGGCGATAGACAGTTGAACAATCAAAGAATTAGTGAGACATACGATTAAGGAAATCTGCCACGTCGATATCGTCTAAGGTGCCGTCCAGTTGAGCAGCAAGAGGATGATGTGAGTACAAACCAGGCAGCCTTGGTTGTATTCTTTTCATGATGCGTTTCTCCATCGCCAAACGCAGTGGAGCGTGTAATCCCTCGGTCGACGCGAGAACGCTCATTCGCTGTGCCTCTTGTATTCCGCTCTGGCGTTTTGCAATGATTTCTGCGACGGGATGTGGAAACTCAACATTATCCAGTTCTTCAGGAAATTTTGCTGCGCCTAACGCAGCTGCTTCCCCACTGGTCCATGGCGTAGGACGCAGTGAGCCTCCAAGCCTGGTGGAGGATAACAAGGGAGAAGGCGACCGATGAAACATTCCTCATAAGACTTCTGTACGACAAAGTAAAGCGAATGCCTGCAGTGCACCGTAGTAAAGTTTAAGCAAGAAAATGCCAGATAATATGCTAGTCGTTCGATAGTGTGCATCACGCAACGGGACACCGAGAATATCGCTTGCCACATCTAGCCACGAATAAATCTGGGTGTGCCGCGTTGGGATAATTAGAGGTTGGCCGAACCGTAAACAGAACTGGGTAGGGATTGCGAGTATCTATTGAAACGGCACATATTCTACGTAGATTGAAACACGCGCTAGGCAATGTAGACAAACGGTGATTGTTTAGACGTGAACGTGCTTTTAGGCCCACACAGCGATGTGTGAGACAAATGCTAAATAAAATTAACAACATGTAGCCAGAATAACGCACATAAAGTAATAATAAGTGTTGCTCAAGGTAGGGTTAAAATAATGACGCAAGGCGTTTGAAGAAGTATGAAGAAGTTGAAACTAGATGTGGATGCAGGGCTAAAACATAACAATGTGCAACATCATTATTAGAACAGAAAGTACATAGGATGTTTCTAGTGGTACCAAGTGAGCTGATTATAAATATGCAGACCAAAAGTTTCTATCACGTCGGGTTGCTTTTTAATTTCAATTTTGCATTTCAGTTAAGCAGTGTGTTCCATACATCGAACGCGCGCCTGTGATTGGTCCATTAGTCCTCTGTAATCGTGGAAAAGAAATCCTCTTCGCCATGGTATCCACCTGATACTGAAAGTCGATTGAGAGCTGTTTCCTTAATTGATATCTTGATCATGGCTGAAAAATGTTGCTGTGTCAATGACCGAAATCATTTTTGTTACGTTTGTGGACAGTTTACTAGAAAGTCGCAATGCAGACCGATATTTTCATTAATGAAGTCTGCCTACCACGCATATTTCGGGATGAATTTGGAAGATCAGGATAAGAAGTGCGTGCCGCATATTTTGTGTGTGTGTCTTGATGTCTTCATCAGACTCAGTGGCTCAAAGGCAAAGGCAAGATGCCCTTTGCAAACTCTATGATGTGGACGGAGCCGAAAGATCACACGACAGACTGTTACTTTTGCCTAACCAGTGTCATTGGAATCTCCAATCAAAACAAGGACAAATTTCATTACCCCGATCTTCAATTAAATATTCGACCTGTTCCACATGATCGCACCTCAAACATCCCACTGCCTTCAGTGAGCATGTCACTGATGATGAATAGTGATACGCATCGTCAACTTCCCCTGACTCTGACATCTTTGAAAGATACGAAGCTCAGGCTGTCAACCCACATCTTATAGAACAATCAGAGCTGAATGACTTGGTACGTGACCAGCGCTTACCTAAAGAAAAGGCCGAGTAGCTAACATCTCGGCAGCATCAGTGGCATCGACTTGTTGCAACCGCTCAGGTTACTGTATACAGAAAGCGAAATTTTTAATTGTCTGATTTCTATGACACGAGAGAAACTTTTGTTACTGTTCTGAACCGGGAGTGATAAAGCAGCTTGACGTGAGGCATATCAGTGATGAATGGCGTTTGTTCATTGACTCGTCCAAGAGTAGTGTTAAGACTCCACAATGGAAATGTGTACCCAACTGTGCTTCTGTTGCATGCCACCAATACGAAGGAGACTTATAAAAGTATGCAACAGATAGTCGCTGCATTGAAGCACGTAAGTACTGTTGGTACATCTGTGCTGACCGCAGTCACTGGAGCCATAATGGGTATGCAAGGAGACTTCACAAAATATTGCTGTTTCTTGTGCATGTGGGACAGTAGAGCAACTCAACAGCATTACGCAATTGAAAAGTGGCTGGAGTATGCTGCAGGGAAAATGAGTGCACAGTATACGCCACTTGTGCAACCTGATCATATCTATCTACCACTCCTGCACACAAAGCTTGGTTTGATTAAAAACTTGGTCAATGCACTCTAACGGAATAGTTTTTCGTTCCAGTACCTGAAACAAGTGTTTCCGAAGATCAGTGATGCGAAACTAATAGAAGGGATAGTTATTGGGCCTGATATTCGCTGGATAATGGCAGACAGTGCCTTCGAAAGCCAGTTGACTCCATATGAGTTAAAAGCGTGGCGATCATTCAAGACAGTGTGTACAGGATTTTGAGCAGAACAAAGGCAGAGAACTACAAAGACATCACAGAAAAGCTCATTGCGGACTATCGGGCTGTTGATGCTCGAATGTCAATTTTTGCAAAATCACCTTGACTATTTCCCTGAGAGCTTGATATCTGTTAGCCATGAGGATGGTGAGCACTTTCACCAAGACATTTCAGTCATGGAGCAGCGCTACAGTGGCAGGTGCAGGCCTTCTATGATGGGTGACTGCTGGTTTCTGCAGCGTGAGGGTGCTGGATCATACAAGCGACGATTCGGCGAGGTCATCATTCCCAGTGTCAAGCTGCAGTCAGAAGTTAGTGGCGAGTGTTGCAGTGATGTTTTAAACCTATGTGCCACATAGATGCATTCTGTATATGTTGTGATTCAGTGCAATTACATATAATTCGTATGACGTAGACTTGAGATTACTGAAAATAATCATTTGCTTACAATAATGTAACCTGACGTGCTGGGTAACATCGGAATACACTTCTACGATCAGTGGAGTGTAATCTATAGAGTAGGGACATCGGTATATTGTTATAAAAAATAATTTTTTATGGCAGAGTGCAATCAAAGTTAGCTCATGCTGTGAGGGGTTGGCACGAAATTAGATGCAGTGATAGTTTACCAAGAACAATGTCTTTTACATGTTGACCGAACATTTAATGCGACATGGAAAGAAGACAAATTTACAGTTGTTCCAACTTAAACTGCGTCAAAATGCAGCGGAAACTACTTGTGACATCAACAGCGCAGTTAGTTCTGGAACCAATAATAGCCGCATTGTACAATAATGGTTCTAACAATTTCGAAAACCTTAACCAAATTTTGAAAAGATAACGAGATGCCTGAGGATGAAAAGCATTGTGCACAGCCATCGGAAGTGATCAACGATCAATTAAGGGACTTAGCCGAAGTGGATCCGCGAAAGCTATTAGAGATCTTGCTTCTAACTTGGCAATATGTCAGTACTTGCACTACACCAGCCTCACACCACCGCAGTACAAACGGACACTTGTGAAGACACTAGTTAGTCGTGTCAGACGAATATGTTCGGCCGACTGTCTGGACAATAAGCTAGTATTACTTACAGCAACACTAATGGCGAACGGCTACCATCGAAGACTTATCGAGAAACACAGACAAGCGCGAGGGCCAAAGGACTTGGTGCACACAGCAGCCAAGAAGAAAGTGTATATCGAGTTACCTTTCAAAGGTGTTTTAGCCACGCTGAAGACAACTAAGCGTATAATTTCGGCTACACAAGGAAGTTATTAGGCTGCACAAGTTGTCGTCTTTAACCGAACCCGAAATTTGCCCATACCTCCAACGAAGGAAGCTCAGCCGATTGGGGCCAACTCACAGTGTACACCAATTTGTACGTGACTGCGGAAACAGTAACACAGGCAGAACTAATAGAACGCTGACTTCCGGAATAAAGGAAAATGTACCAAGATGGGTTCAACGTGAAGTTGCTCAGATTGCCTACCCTCGTCAGATTGCATGTTCGCGCAGACCGCCGGCTTCCTCAATAGGCAAACACCTATTAGACTCGAGTCACCGGATAGAGCTGGGCTCATGTTTTACAGTTGTGTTACGTCACACTAAGCCGCGCTTCCTTCGGTTTGCTGAGGCTGTCGCTATAAGCCGGATAAGCCAACCTTGTGTGTTCAGAAACAATTATTTGTCAGCCTAAAGCTGCCTTGGACGCAGGTGTGAACTTCCGTCATTCGTTCTGCACCATAAGCTCGTCTGGTTGCACCCATTGTTAGCTATATCTATGCATATCGGTTATTGTTAATGGTACTGAGAAGACAATATGAAATGCGCGCATCTACCAGCCTTCTTCTTTTCCGTTCTTCCCAAACATGACATGTCACAGTGTTAAAACATCTAGGGTAGATTAGTATGTAGAAAAAGCCTGATAAGTGGGTGCACAAGAACTGAGTGAAAATCAAAGAAATGGTCTTTGACTGTTGTTTTGCGCAATCTCTCTCTCTCTCTCTCTCTCTCTCTCTCTCTCTATATATATATATATATATATATATATATATATATATATATATATATATATATGTTCAGCATTCAACAAATAGATATAGTCACTAAAAACCACGGAAATCAAGTGAAGTTACAGTTGTCGTAACGAAAATAGAATGCAGCACAAAGAAATCCATGCTTTCATCAGAGGGCACGACACTACGCGGTTGCCCAAGCCGAGGTACGGTGTTCAATTAAGGGACACTACCCCGAGCCTTTGGTTGAATAGCCTAACCGCAAGGAGGCGGACCATCAACATCATTACACATTAGCTGAAGGTGAGAAACCCACCCGAACTATTGTGCCGTGATATATGAAGACAACACACTATTTATTAACATGTTATGCGTCAAGAGAGAAATCTTAGATGGAGAAGGAAAGTAAGCGAAATAGGAACGGACAAAGAAGCTCACAACACTAAAGTCAATGAGGTCAGTTCTTCGCTATGTCAGCTAGTGTATCCAACCAGACGTGTTCATCGTCCTTGCGGCAGCCGAAAAACACCAACTGACGCCAAATTCAAAGTGATGGTTCGCACTACTCTCGACCAAGTCATTACTAGGCCTCCACTCTTCCTCTTCTATCCATATCCCGGCACAAGAACAACGGTCGACGAGGGAGTCGGTGTGCTGGCATGCGCAACACGTGGCCCAGCCACCGGAGCCTGGTGGGTGATATAACGGTGCTGAGCGGTTCACCCGCTATTCCTGCACCAAACACACAATGTCGAACACATTTATCGCTCACGCAGTGCTCCCATTGGATATGAGCCAAGCTGCGAAGGCAGCGATGATTGAACGTGACTAGCCTTTTTATGTTCGTCGACTTGATGGGCTAGGTGGTGGGTGAATTTAACCTGATGAGTCACAACCCTCATTATTCTTGTGTGAAACTACATGATAGTAAAAAGAGTAATGGATAACTTAGACACCAAGTCCCTCGAGGGGAATTTCCTGTGTTAATGTCCGAGCCCCGGATTCAACCAGATATCTTAGCAACCCAAGACGAGGATTGGATACTACCAGCACAAGAACTCCCAAATGACGGTTGCACAGACGATACTGCCTACTCTCCTTTACGTCCTACTTCAACACCGGAAACTGTCTCAGATAGCGTGGAGTGTCAGCATGCAACAGGTTCATAGAATCTGTGAAGTAGACGTTTGAGTAGATAGCTTTCTTCAAACTCTTACGGCCCTCCTTCTTGCATCAAGATGACTGCACTTAACCTCTGCTGGAAAGGACTTCCAGTTTCAGGCGGAATGAAGGTTGTATTGCTATGTGTTCATTCACCAGCCTAGTTTCTACCTATCGCACGACCAGGCTTTCTACATTTTCAAAACAAGTACTCCCGTCGTTACATCAGTCTCCGAGTTATCCCGTTTGTTGTGCTATCTTCGTTCAACGCGTCACATATTAGCCATAAAACCCGTGGCAGCCTGCTACTCGCAAACCTGAGAAGGAAGGGTTTGCACGGAAGAAGTAGTGCAAGAAGAACAAGGGCACTGTGATATTACTTATGAGTAGAAGGAGTTTGGCGAGTATTTTTGTTCGTCGCAGTCAGCCGACAACTCAGATAAGTCAACTACCTATCCGAAAAAGCACTCGCCAAAATCCTTCTACTCATAAGTAATACAAATTCGCCCTTACGGATTCCAGGAATGCTATGTCGATTCATAGCGGCCGTAACCGGGAAGTCCTGACGCCGGAAGGCCAACCGCTGTCATCTGCATGGCAGGTGCCTGCATGGCAGTGGAGGACGGGTCGGGCTATATCGCAGTTAGCTAACAATTCGTGATGGTCGGCTACCGTCCTCCATGGCTCAGTTGCATAAGCAGCGGGCTAGTTGGCACATGCCACTAGCAGTCATGGGTTCGATCCTCCGTAGAGGACCGAAGGATGCGTACCGCTGACGAGCCCCAATAGGGCGAAACGGCCGTCTGGTGCTTTTCCGGATAGGTAGTGGACTTATCAGAGTTGTCGGCTGACGGCGACGAACAAAAGACTGTGATATTGTAAGCAGAGGCTATTCTCCGGTTGTAAGTTCCGAGTAAAGGCTACTGTAGAAGCAACATGAACCAAGCAACAGATTAGACAAGGTGTGTGATTCGGAGACAACCCGCAAAGTGCGCAGTTCGACATTGGACATGCACGATGCAAACGCTCACGAGGTGATGTGAATCGAAATCTCTGGTTTCATAAAAAGTCATAATGCATCCTTAACGGGAAAATCAAATTTACAGGTTTGATTTCAGCAGTACACTGAATACTCGGATCAACGGTTCCCGAGAAGTTTCTTGCCTGGTTGCCGACGTAGGAGTAATTCACAGTCGGAGAAGTGAATAAAAGGAAAACCAGTGACGGAATTTTGCAGACGGACGATGCACTTTGGGTGTCTATTCCAGGAGAGATGTTGGATTACAAGTAGGTACGAGGAAGAAGCCAGACGATGGGTGACTAGTTTAGTCGTCCGGCTTATTTTAAAAGTCTCCGGTTAGAATCTCTGCAGGTGCAGCAGAGTTATCAGTTTTCTTAGCCCACACATGACTGCAGAAAATTATTGCCGGACTGCTAATAATGAAAAGTAGAACACTGCGCTCCGAACAACACTGAAAACATCTTCATTTAGGATGCGATCCATGTGTTCGGGATGGCAGAGAACAAACGGAAAGTAAATCCTAGTGTAGTTGAGATTAAGATAGTAATCTAAACAACAGGTGCTCCAAGATTATGAGAAACAGAATACGTCAATAAAGAGACCAAATCGTCACAAGTGCACAAGACAGATAGGACACAATCGTCTCTACTGCTAGTTATAGTTACAGAAGCAGTCGACAGCACCCGCCCCATCGTCCTCCTAGTGGGACACGATTCACTGCATCATTATTCTAAGTGCTCCTGCTAATGAGCATGAATGAGGCATCAGCAGCACGCCGGAACCGCATACCGACGCTTCACTGTCAAAAAGCCATCAGCTGGTGTAAGCGATCTGGGATAGTGTGAAGTCACTTAAATCTATGCAGATTCGAGCAGGGTAACTATGGATTACAACCCAGAAACCTGAACTAAGTTATCACCGTATAGCGGTTCACAAGTCGAGAGATCATAATCAATAATGGGAAGATGGCCGTGGTTAGATTGAGTAAAGTCGCACAGTGGATAGCTAATACGGTCTAAATAAAGTAACATACCCCGTATACAAAATTGAACGAACACCGAACTCCTCGCGAAGTAAACCATCGCTAGTCATCTAAAAAAGATGCAGAAAGTCAGGGCTAAAGGTGTGTTAATTGAACGAGCTAAGTACTCCAACACCAGCTGTGCTCGGCAAGCAACTGGATCGACCAGTAATAATTAAAATTAAACAAGGTTGCAAAACAGTGGATAAATGTTTAACACCAAGATGACCAAAGAAGATCAGGGCCCAATGCACACACAATCACTGACAATGTTTGAAACCACGGCAAGTTTACAGGGGACATAAGTTTTAAGAAGTAACGTTCACCTTGTGAGATGAACCGATCGGCAATAACGAGCGAAGACAACAGATTGCGAAAATTACAGTCGTAGAGTTAGAAAAAACAATAACGCATAGTGCCATGAGTGATATGATCTACCTTTGTCTGCGCGATTCCGGTTGAACTGAAATCGTTCTCTGTTAAATATCAGCCGGGAATCAGAAGACAAACTTGGAGGCAAAAGCGTGCTGCAGAACCAGCTACCGAAACGAACACAAGTAGTGTGAAATTAAAGGACACCTTCCTAAGTCAAACACGAAATTGGCCTTCAACGTGGTGCGATGGTTTGTGTGCCTCAGTGATCCAATGAGTTAAGCTGGGTATTGCTAATTGCACCATCAGAGCCACTCATACCACAGTGATTAACGGTTAAAACCCAGACAATATCAGTCTCCTGGCTCTCCAGGTTAGGGGTTGGAGTAAGGGTGGCTTCCTAGTCCATAAAGGACTCCGTGTAGCCCAGCTCCAAAACCCCACTGCCTTGCGGCAAGATTTGTGAACACTAATACTCTAGGCTTGGGTAAGTTGACAGTATCATGCCCGCGTGATACAACTCTGTGAACTTCTCTCCACACGATTTGTTGATGCTCTGGCTGTCGCAGAGGATAACTGGCACCCTATCTGCTGCATCGAGCAGGGTGGATAGAGGTTTGGATGCTACTGCGCAGATCTTCCCGTCTTCCCGCTCCAACTTCACTTTTAGCCTCCCTGTTTTCAATCCCTCAATCATTGGCCCTCCCCATCCCCTCATCAATAGTCGTCTGTCCTCTATTTTTAAACCACAAAATTGCAGGGCGTCGCTCCAGTCCAGTCGACAAGTACATGTTTAACTAAGTGGACAAGGTAAGTTCATCCGTTTCCCTTTGGAGTCCTCTATCCTCGCTAAGACCCGTATGCCTCAACGTGCGCAATTGATAAAGATTGGCCAACAAGAAGCACTTTCCCAAACACTAGAGACCCTATCGATCCATATTTGCTGTTTATCGGAAACTCGTCTGCAAGATTCGAGCCCGTGCTTACTCTGCGATCCCCATTTGCGACACTGGCGGCACATTCTCATTGCGCCTGTCTGGAAATGACGCAGCTTCAAATGCCGGTCAAGCTAGCGCCTGCATTGTTTTGAGTGTCCGGGATGAAGCTTCCCTGGTTGATTAGATCCCAGACAACCGCCGGATGGACGCCGTTAGATCGGCTGGCTCGTTGCAGGCTTCGAAGTCACGCTGCCTGTTTGCCATTGCGGTCTATGCCCCCATAAACTGCAGCGCTGATTCGGTGAAAGATGATTTCTATCACCAACTTAACGATCTTCTTCGTTACAGAAATAGTACGGATATTCTAGTGTCAGCTGGTGATTCAAACGCTTAAGTTGAAAAATTGTCCTCTGATGATCTTCATCTGGGAGGCCAACACGGTGTACGCCCTCGGAATGATAACGCTGAGCGGTTAATACACTCGTGTGAAAAAACGCCTGTTTCTCACGAGCACTAACTTTCGACATATCATCTACAGAAGAGTGACTAGACGCCAACCAGCCTCAAACCAACCCTGAACGCAAGCCGACCACATCGCGATCAGTTACCGCTGGAGAGTCTGTGTCCAAAACTGTCGCTTAAGTTGAAGCACGAGTGAGGACTACGATCACGCTCTTGTGTGTGTGCTGACCTTTGGGTGCGTTTTGGCGGACCTACACAACGTCGCTGTGACCGTATAGAGACCAGCCAACTGGCGAAGTTAGGTGTACTGAATGCGTAACAAACGACGCTGGCATCTGGGCTGAGTGGGCGCCCATTGAACACTGTTGAAGATAAGTGGTTGAATATTCGTCAAACGTTAATATCAGCAAGCATGTCTTCATGTGGCAAATAAAATTGCCAAGCTGGACATTGGGTCTCTACAAAGTCTCTAAAACTTATGGATGCTCGCCACCGTATTCCAGCTGAAACGGAATACAATGAGACTCGCAAAAATCTCAGGGCAGTACTGCGTGCTAGTTTGAAGAGACCGCGAAGCCTGGTGGTCTCATCGTGCATCGGAAATGGAAACAGCCCCTGCTGTGGTCATCATCGTAAGTTATCCCGTCTGATACAGGAAACAGGCAGCAGGAGACCTGGTGTTAGCGAGACCATACACGACGAGAGCGGAAGGCCGATTCACAGTTTGTCAAAACATTTGCAGCATTGCGTCGAACAATTTGCAAGACAATTGTTCATATGCTCTCCGAGCCTGGCAACCAAACCGCCAAGCTCAGAGAATAAATGAACAATTGTATCATCAACCCAAGCTATCAGTATCCCGAAACACTTTGCAAAAGTTATCGCTTTCTCTTTGGGGCATTGAGTGCTATTCTCCCTGGGCTGTCTCCTTAGATCAGCCATCACGCGCAGAAGTCAAAGGTGAGATCAGATTGTTGAAGTTGCAAAAAGGCGTAGGGGCAGATACAATTCCCCCAGCTCTCCTCAAATTCGGCGGACTTGCTCTTGTGGATAATTCACAAGAATTACTAGTGGAACTGTGGGAGCAGAAAACTGTCCCAACAGACTGGAGCCGCTCCGTCATAGTCCCATTCCCACGGGAGGCTTCAGTTAGGAATGCGGCGATCATAGAGGGATCAGTTTGATCTCAATTATCGCAAAATTCCTTGCATGTCATTCTCCACAAATTGACTGGCACTCGTGAAAGCCAGATTCGTGAGGGGCAAACCGGATTTAGTCGAGGTCGGGGTTGCATCGACCATATCTTCACCTTGCGTCAATTGCTGGAGCGCCATGTTTATTGGCGACCCACGTGTTGCATTCATACACTTGCTCCTTTGTACATGTCGCATAATAATCAACTCTTACTTTTCAGCTGATGCACCTTCGTTGTTAGACCAGTAAAGCGTGTACTTCCTACTCCGTGTTATTCCGTCTGTTGTGCTATCTCCGCCGAACGCATCAATTTACTGGTCTAACCACACTATGGACCGCTATCTCCCTTCTGATAAACTCGGCACTGATTTGAATGCTCCAGGTATCTCTAAACAGTAGACGTATTTGTTTCAAACATTCAACGCCTTTCTAAAACGAGTTCATTCTGACAACTCGGATAAGCCGGACATGCTAGTCAACTTTCTGTCTCCTTCCGTGTATCAGCACGTCGCTGAATGCAAAACCTTCGAAAGTGCTGTTCCGCTTCTTCAGCCCCCTTTATGTGCATCCTGAAAATGGGCTTTATGCCCGATATCTTTTAACTACGTGCAAGCAGGGATGTAGACAAAATATCGATCAGTTTGTGCAAAGCGCCCAACTTTTAGTGGACTGCGATTTTCGCTCCGTCTAAGCTGACGAATGTTGTGACGACAACATGTGTGATGTCCTTATAACCGGCTTACAGTGAAACAGCATTCGAACGAGGCTTCTCGAGCAGCCAGCCTTGAATTTTCAGACTGCTTATGATATGGCAAGGTTGCTAGAGGTTACTCTGGAACAACCAGTTTTATGGGACTGAAACCATTCCATGTGCCTCGAGAAATTCTGTTCCACGTACTCATCATCACTCCACTAACTCAGTTGAGACTGAACAGATCGTATCAGTCGTGCCCACGGCAACGTGTCATTTTAGTGGATATATTAAGCACCCCCGCTTAGTGTCATGCGAAAGATGCCATTTGCAAAGACTGTGGGAAACGGACCATTTCAAATGTGAGTGTAAACGCAAACCCTCTACTTCATTCATCACTTCAACAGTACATCCACTTTGGTCTTCCGTTTTTACGGCTGCACCTCTAAGCTGCTTGTATCGCACAAGAACCAAGTTTCGTAATCAACACCGAACTGCATACCCTAATTGATACTGGCAGTTCTGATAGTTATGTGTCTCAATCTGCCGTTTACTCCCACCACTGGGAAATCCTTGTGACTCCAAAATCACTATTGTTTAAACATCACTTCCATGCGCCGTTAATGGGTATTGCAATGTTCGGATTCGCTACCAAAAGGTTGTATACAATGACATTCGGTTTCCCCTTCTGCGCAATCTATCCGCTGATGTGTTACTCGGCCCTGACTATGTTGGCTTGCATAATAAAGTTGAAATATCATTCCGTGGGGGCAACGCGGCGCTTTCTCGCTATGTGGACTAACTGCAACCAACACTGAATCACCCACTATTTGCCAACCGGTCTCCTGACTGCAAGCCGTTCGCCACAAAGTCTCGTCGACACTCAGTTACCGTGATATTTCTACCGGCAAGCCCCGGTCTTTTGTTCCTCAGCAATACCACCGAATCGTCTTCGATCACCTGCATGGAATCTCAAACCCGAGCATCCGAGCCACCGCTAAGCTGAGTACTCATTGCTTCATTTGGCACAACATGCGCTCCGAGATCCAGCAGTGGGCCAAACACTGTATCACTTACCAAACCAGCAAGATCCACCGACACACGATTACCGTCCCCGGTACGTTTGCTCTTCCTAACGCTCGTTTCAAACATGTTCATCTTGACATTGTTGGACCATTGTCTCCATCCAAAGGTTTTGTCTACTTATTGACGTGTTGATCGTTATACGCGCTGGCCACTTGCCGTGCCTTTAACTGGTGCTTCTACAGAAACTGTGGCGCGAACATTCATTGAGAATTGGATTTCCGTCTTTGGCACCCCAGCCACTATTACTAGTGCTAGAGGGTCCCAATTCCATTCGGCCTTGTTTCGTGACATGAACCGCTTACTCGGTTGTACCCACCTACGGACAACTG